ACCAGTGCGAGCGGGAGATTTAGTGATCGTCATGGATGAAGCTATACGGAACAGCTGGGTTAGGGGCAAGGTTATTAAGACACATCCAGGGAAGGATGGAAGAGTTCGATGCGTTGATGTGCAGACTGGCAGTGGTGTGGATGTAACAGAAGGAGGTATAGCTGATGGAAGTCCCAAGCAATACGGGTCGGGGAATGTTCGCGAAAATGTTTACCTAGCCAACACACATCTTGCGCTGCAGCGCCGCTTCGAAACGGAATGTAGCAAAATGGTATAGAAGATGACGTTATGTTCACCTGTCAATCAGGGCAATGAACAATAACAGCTAAATGTGAAAATAGATGTCAGATGTATTCTAAATATAAAGTTTCATTTCATTTCATTTTCATTTTCAAGCACAGAAGGGGGTCATAGGGCCAAGTCACCAGCGAAAAATCGCTGTCCATACTGCACCAGGGTAGAGGTATAGATTTGGCATCACAGAATAATAACCACAGGGGTCAAATGAATCCTGTTTACGATACCGGATAGTAAGGAAAGCTGTTGAACATAGGGGATAGTCAGAGTAACAGCAATAATAGTGAAAGTTAGGAAAATAAGCAGGTAGAGATGGTTGATTTGCAATGGCTATCGACTCTGTTATATGGCCTACCGTATCAGATTCAAATTTAATGTCGTTTAATATTGCGCTTATTACTTTTATCTTTATTCTAAGCAATCTCCTTTCATACTTGTTTGTTTTAAAGTGAACTGGATGAAATGATTGTTTTATCAAAATTATGTTAAAGTTAACTATGCTTTCAATTGTCAACAGTTTAGTTTCAACTGATTAGTTGGCGACTCAATTTGATGTTATTTTCCATTTTTAATTAGTTGGAAGTATATTTACTTACGTAATCGATTCGTTGAGTGATTGATGATTTACTTACATTTTATACGAATTATGTAGTTTTACGTAAGTACCTGCACTTGTGAATGTAATCTGAAATTCAACGTGTTTCAAGTTGTTTTTTTAATTTGACCTATACACTGGAGTCGCTTTTTACGCGGTTTTTTTTTACACGGTTTTTTTACGCGGATTCCGGAATTTACGCGGTTTTTTTTACGCGGATTTTGGTTTTTTTTACGCGGATATCAGAATTTACGCGGTTTATCATTATACACTAGAGTCGCGGTTTTTTTTTTACGCGGGACGTATCACCCGCGTAAAAAGCGACTCCAGTGTATTTAATATATATTAGTTCGTCCCAGGTGACATCTTCAAGTGACAAAAATGCTTCATTTTGAAGTTAGTTTCCTAGCTGATTTTAAATTATATAGGGTATATGCTCCAACTACGCTCACACGTTTCCACTATGTCATCCCACAAAATTACGTATGGTTATGTCACAATAGAAGCGCACCACAGTGGAAATCTCGAGTTCAAACATTTCTCCCAAATCAAAATGAAGCACATATAAGATTAGTTGCAATACCATGTACAAAAATGGTGTTTAACATTGTTCCCTGAGTAATACCTCAATGAAAACAACAACGAAAGCTTGTCACGCAAGTAGAAGGAGCACTGATGGGTACTTTCTGAAATATTTCAATAGTATAATTCCCTTGCAAACCCAAATAATTTATCTGCGTAAAAAAATAAGAGTGATTTGCGGCAAAACCCGCCAGTATCGCACCCAACGTCAGTGCCTATACGTAAGCGTACTACAACGCGGCTTTCAAATAAAGGAGTAACAAGTGTGATACTATCACTTCAGGCTAGAACTTTGGTTCTTTTATGCAATGGTTCATCAGAGAGGGGAAGCTCAGTAATCCTCATCGCATGCTCATGACGCTATTCTGTCACGGCATGAGCCAACGATGCCGGACCTAAGCCAACCGTCTCCAACGCTCCACTATGAAGCATAAGATTAGGCCCACCCACCAACGTCCAGGTTAAAAAACTAACCAAGGGGAGGGGATGTATTCTAAATATAAAGTTAATACCTAATGCTAGAAATTATAATTAAAATTGTTAATACTATGGAATTTGGATTGTAAGTAAATTAAGATTCTAATGAAATTACATATGAACTAATTACTATAAACTAAACATAGATCCTAAACGAACAACAAACATACAGGCTACAGAGTGAATCGAACACGATAAAAGGACTAAAATCTGTAAGGGAAATAACGAGTTTGTACCTTAAAATAAACTAAAAATAAAACTCTTCTAGCTAAAAGCTAACCCAAAGCAAATCTGGTGTTTGCTATATAGACGTCCGAAACTTTGACGAGCGATTTACACTCCTGTGGCAACTGTTAAGAATATATACAGCCTTTTTCCAACAAGTTTGCCAGTGTATTCACTTATTAGATACTAACTGACGACCATACTAACCCGGCTTATTCAACGAGTCCGCAGTTCACATTCGCTTTATATGGAAGACAAGCATCGTCGTAAAAAAGAAGCTCTCTATTCAGAAAAAGCGAAGTCGTTAAAAAGACAGAGATAAGCAGAAGCGAAACATCTCGAGAATAAGCAAAATATTAGAAGCTGCCCAAAAGGAAGCTGAGAATTTGCAAGAGAAAATTGTTCTGCTGAAGTCATGAACATTTAAAAAAATAATCCGAATAGAACAAAATCATCTAGTAATGCCTCGATATAATGTAAACTTTTAAAATAATAAAATGATACTGGGTGATAATTGAATTTATGCTGCGTGTTTTTCTTCCGCTGATTCATCAATTTTTAATTTAATGTTTGTAATACTAGCAGTGTTCGGAAAAACTCAAAAACTCAAATCTCATGCATGAGTTTATGCGCGTATGAGTTTTGTCTTGCAAAATTCAACGTCGCAAAAATCACCGATGAGTTTTCAGGTTCAAACATTCATTGCTTTATATTTTGACCTTATTTATTGTTATTACTATTGTTTGTGCATCAGGGGTTGGAAATTGAACACAACATGCATAGGTATGACATCAATTGACGTTTGAATGGTTTTTATGAGTTTAAAGCTGGAATGATTTTTCGGCGTTGTGAGTGTGAGTGCGTGAATATGCATGAGAATCTCAAGCTCTCAAGCGTGAATTTTGTTTGTCGCATTCGCACACGAGTTTATTCTCGCAGGGAGGCTCAATGAATGAGATTTGAGATTGATTTTCCAAACACTGAATACTAGTTAGTGTCGCGAAGCTTTTAAATCAATGTTGAAAAGTGCATAACATATACGCGTGTATATTGTGCACAAGATGAACGGGACTCAAAGCTCCTGCCGGGTAGCATGAACAGCCAATATGAATGTTTTGTTTAGTTTCGTTAAGTTTCCCGAAATGTGCAGCCACTGGGGATCGTCAAAAGCCTGGAGTATTGGGGATTTGAAAGGTTCCTCCATGTAACATGACGGAAGAAGCAAACAAAGATAAGTTTAGTTCATTTCGAGGGATCTAGCATTTGTTGTTCACCCAAGTAACCATAGGCACGTTATTTCGGCTTTTTGGATATATGCGGGCCTCATCGGAACTTACAAAAACTGATAAAGTCGTTGTTCAGCTGTACCTATGGTTACTTGGGCAGTTTATAGTCATGAGTGAGCGCGCGTGTGTGTGTGTATTTGTGTGTTTGTGAACCTATTAAAAATCGCTACAATTAGCATTAGTTTTCCAAAACGACCCTGCTGCAAACCATTCCCCACATCCATAATCTCAGTGATTTCTCGTGGAAGCGTAGAGGAGGACTTCTCGGTTTCCTTCACAGCGAGTATCACGTCAACACATTCCCTATTTGACCGACATTCGGACACGGCCGGCGCTGGTATTGATAAATATTAAATCTTCAGTTTTTACACATTGAGGATGAATGTTAGTCCCAAACATCATCTGTTGGTTCTCTGTGTAAAAGCGGCTGATCTGGCAATAACAGAGCAGCAACCGTGGGCGGTCAATCATGAGAAGAGATACGAAAAACATCGAAAAGTGATAGAGAAAGAGAGAGAAGAGTATTCCACTACAGATGCCGATTATTCAACAGGACTCAACGAGAATCGCAGCAAGGATACAATACATAAGCGGTGAGATCTAACTGATTACAACTAGATATAAAAATATGAAAGGCATTCTACTAAATACGTGCCATCTACAAAGCAGGAATTGCTTTGATGAGGGAAGTGTACACGCAGTACTAATATACATTTTATATCGGTACTACGTGTATGCGGGGCTTGTTGTAAGTGAAAGAAACCTCGGAATGGACGTGAGTGACCAGGCATTCTGAAATGGGTTACTTAATCTTAACAGTGCTATCACCTTTCAACTTCCGGGCTAAAATTGTTTGCAATATGATCAGTATAAGATAATAATAGATTTTATTGCAAACATTTTTCTTCCATAAAAACACTGCCGGACAGTGGCAGTTGGATTGTATATACATACATACATACAAAATGATGCTTGGTGATAGTTTAGGAGATTGTTTTAAATATAAATAATCATTGTACTACGGTATAATGAAGTACATCACTTTGTAGCTTCTTAGGTTAAAATAACGGAGTTATGTGGTCTGGAATGTTTTTGGAAACCGACTGAAAAGTCAGGGAAATTCAGTGAATATTTCTTCTGACTCTAAGTCGACACCCTGTTTTTCTAAATCATTAAAAATAAACTCACGCCGCCGCCGCCGGAAGGAAACGGCGTGACGCCGCCACGCCGCCAGAAAATAACACATCACGCCGCCGCCGAAAATATGTTGATCTGCGCACAGGTCTAGTTTTATTAACCCATCATCGTTATTTTTAGTTCATGCCCACGAGGGGCAACTTTCGATCACTAATAGATCAAAACACGGAGTTACCCCACACCTATCGTACCTCACACTAGTAACCAATAATCGCATAACAGTTCCATACGTATAGGAAATCAAGCAAATATGGGACACGTTATGCGATTATGACTAGAGGACTAGTTCTTATCTGATTTGTAGTAAGCGGAAAAGACAAATAATAACTTATAACACAAACCTGCATTTTTAGTATTCCGATTATCTGTTACTTCTGGAACCGGGTCGTCTTCTGGGATGTGAATAGGCTCATCTAATTTGTTATCGTATTCATCGATGTTGGCTTGTATTCCAAGAAATTTATTAAGGTTGAAATGATACATGACCTGCAAAGACGTCTTTTTTAGCTATCATTATTTAAATTATGCACATTCTCACATTACCTGACCAATGGATTCTAAGTGTTGATGCATTTGGATTATCCATTGACCTAAAGTAATCCAGCTTAACTGACGAACTTTGAGCAGTTCGTAATTTATATCAACCTGAGCGCAACTTCTGCTTTCGGTACAGCTATTATCGTGATAGTTATGAAAACAACTTGCTAGTGGTGGCATACATTTACTTGCTGCGAAGGTGCTAACTTGTGAGCTCTTTTGTAACAGTTCCTCAATAAAAGGAATGCTCGACGAGAATCTGTTGTTTATTTCATGTAAAACATTGACTGCTCGCTTGTACTTATTATCTTTTTTAAAGCAGCGAATGGCCCAACAACAAGCTTCGATTATCTTTCCTGATACAAGGAACAATACAAGGATACCATCTAAACTTGGCCAGTGATTAGCGTTACGTTCAATGCACTTCTCATAGTATGCTTTAGCCACTGAAATTTGTCCTATCTTAAGAGCTAGCTGAGCCAATATGTACATCGTGTGAACATCATTATTGCATAACTCAACAGCTCTAATTAAGTAATCTAGAGCCAAGTTATCCTTACCCTTTTCTTGGTAGAGTAATCCAATATTACGGAAACAATTATATTTTACTAACAACAGCTTGTTGTCCTTGGCGTCGTTTGAAACCTTAAAAAAAGAATAATAATAAAGTGTTACTTGAATATAAAAAAGATGTTACATTTCTGCATAAAAATATGGGTGGTGACAGTTTTATGAAATTTATTTTTGCCAGTCTGTGTTTACCACCATGAACCATTTCTCAATAATCTTTAGTCCGTCTAACATAGAACAATGTTCTTTAGCAATGAGAAGTTCCTCACCAAATGACGAATCGGAAAGCTCGACTTTTCCGATTTGCTTAAAACTTTGCACAATTGCGTGTTAGGGCAATCATTTACATTTTTACAAAAATTCGAAGAATTTACAAAATACTCGGAAAATATTATTTAATAAATTGAAAGGCATTGGAGTAATGCCCTGATCAATCTTTTGTTTTAAAGAATATCTTAGAGGCATAATTTGTTCTCTTGAACAATTAGAGATCTTCAGAATAATAACTAATCAATCCGAAGGATAGCCAACATATCAAGAGGACATTATGCAGGTATTTGATCAATTTAAGGGCTTTAGAATAATTCCTGATCAACCGATTTTCATGCAAGAATATCTAACAGAAATTATTTGAATTTTTAAGAAATAAGAAATCTGCAGAATAATTGCTAATTAATTAGAAACAGAAGAAGTTCCAACGTACTCAGAGAATATTATGCACGTATTTAATCATTTGAGGGGCTTTGGAATAATTCCTGATCATCCTACTTTCTTAAAGAATATCTTAGATGCAAGATTTGATCCACACAACAATTAGAGATCTCTAGAATAATTACTCATCAATGAGCAGAAGTGCCAAAATACCCAGAGAACATTATACAGGTATTTGATCAATTGAATGCCTTTGGAATAATTACATCTTTGGACTTCAAAACATACATGTGAGCTTCAGAAAAGTTCAACATGCGTCACTTCATTCTGTGTTTATCACATGAGTTTTGATCTCTTTTTTTTTTTAAAAAATCAGCAAACATCAGAAATATTCAATGATTATTCGAGATGATATGTAAACCTTTGAGTAGCTTCTTGAATCGAATAGTAAAAATCGCATATAAGCAGAACTTCCGAATGTCTTTTAAATTTCGGAAATTCGCGAGCTTCTAAGAAGTTCTCAGAAAGTTCCGGAAAAAGTTGCAGAACTACTTTGGCTTCCCCAAAAGATATTGGTCAGGATGATCGCTTTTGTCCTAGTAGTGTTCGTTTTTTTTAACGAACCGGATAAAATTTCTGGGTCTTTGATGAATTATGAGAGCTTAGACATAAAATAGTTATCTGAATTATGGGACTTGGAAAATTGGTAATGACACTGCAAAGGTATTTTTTATCAAATTTTGTAAACAGAAATGTTAAAATAATGTATTATTGAATAAGGGGCTGTTCATTATTCACGGCCAATACAAATTTTAAAAATAGTGTTAGAACAATTCTTGATAGAGCTAGAAATAGGGAGTAACAGCTTTTGTAAACAATGACTTCTAAAGGAATACAGGAATCGTTTTTGTAGCCGAGTTATTTACGAAAGAAAGATTCGATGAAGAGAATCGATTAATGTAGATTGGTTTATTTTAAAATTGACGCGAGAATTGTCCGATAACGACATCCGTACCCGAATCGAATCGCCCTTCCAGCGGGCATGACTCTTCAGGTTTGTTCAAGAAACCCACAGTCAAACCAGCGGCTTCGCTGTAACCAACGCGGACAATTAACAGCCACCACTTCGACCCAAACGGATATCGTTCTGTCGATTTGGAGCGATTATGAGTGTAGAGTCATCTTTTTGTCACTTGGTGACGAGTCACGTCACTGGAGCGATTATGAGCGTCATGAGAGTCACTTTTTTTGTTACTTGGTGACGAGTCACGTCACTGGAACGATTATGAGCGTCACTTTTCGACCACTTTTTTGTCACTCAGTAACGACCCTAATAATAAAAATACCATAAACGAATGATAGCCCAAATGATCGAATTATTCCACAAATTGTTTGGATGATTCCCCGAACACGTCGTTAAGCAAAATAACCATAACAAATTTATTAGGGGAGTAACGTCACATGGTTACTAACAATGCAGTGTATTTAGAAACTTGAATGACGAGTCGTGAAAATGGTGATGTTTAGTAATGATATTTTTAAAACTGGTAATAAGTACAAATATTATCGATTTCTTCAATAAAATATTTTACTGTAAATTATTTCGTTGGAGAAATCGAAAAAAAAAGCTCTTTTAGCTCTCCTTTGGTGGCGTGGGTGATAGATGTAAATTATCAAAATGAAGAAAACACTTTACTAAGGTAAAATTTGCCTTTCTAAAGGATTTTCATAAAAAATATCACAAACCGACAAAATGACTAGCGAAAAACGAGCCAAAACAAGTAATGGTAAGCAATAATTACATATCAAATTTCGCTCTTGGACCAGTACTAATCTTGATTTCAATAACTTTTCTTCTGATTTTTTATTTTGATTCCTTTGTTCCAACTTTTTCCAGAAAACACAACTAGCAGTTGAACTAGCTTCAGAAAGTGGATTTCGTACATTGCTATATGTAATGCCTGTGTTAAATTCATATAACGGAAAATAATAATACAAACTGTATATAATTAGCAGTGCATAAGCTTTGTTTAGATGAAGATTTTTGTAATCTTAGAAACCAGAGAAAAGCTATAAGGGATGCATCAAATCCATTGAAATTATCAAGTGAAATGTAAGCTGAGCCTCAGTATATTGGAATGATTGTAATATTCCAGGTTTGTGCAGTATTTCCGAATTTCGAAAGATTTTTTATTCGTATCGATTCGAAACGGCATTTAATGAAGGACATTGGTTGAAAATGCTATCAATATGAAGCTACACAGCAAAAAAAATGTAATATCGATCAATGTAATTCAAGCTGATGTATGAAATAATGATGTAATAGCAAAAAGCAGATACAATTTTACATCAATGGATGTAATTTTGTTCGCAAAATCGATGTACATCGTACAACGTTATATTACACAACCGATGGATTGACCAATGCGAAGATCGGCTCCGACAACACGGATTATGAGCGTGTCATGGGGAGCCATGGTCTTGGCGAAATGAGCGAAAACGGTGAGCTGTTGGCAGAGTTTTGTGGCAATAACGACATGGTGATCGGGGGTTCGCTCTTCCCCCATCGACCAGTGCACAAAGTCACGTGGGTTTCCCGTGATGGACATACCGAAAATCAAATCGACCACATCTGCATCAGCCGAAAATGGAGAAGGAGCCTTCTTGACGTTCGGAACAAACGCAGTGCCGACATCGCGTCTGACCACCATCTCCTCGTTGGAGAGATCCGCCTTCGTATCGCGCGGGTCCAGCGGCGGGAGGAGCGGCGGGAGGAGCGGCTCGGACGGCGATTCAACACACGCCGATTGGAAGATCCAGCAGTAAAAAGGTCATTCGTCGAGGAACTGGAGACCAGAGCTGCGGATATTCCTGATGGTGGCAGCGTAGAAGAGCAATGGACGGCGATCAAGGATGCCTTTACTGAAACGAGTGAAAACAACCTGGGCGAGCTGCGCGCTCAGAGAAAGGAGTGGATCACGGATGACACCTGGAGGAAGATAGAGGAGCGGAGAAATGCAAAAGCCGCGATAGAGCGGGCGAGAACCAGAGGAGCGAAGAACCAGGCCCGCCAACTGTATTCGGCTCTCGAGAAGGAAGTGAAGCGCTCGTGTAGGCGGGATAAGCGAGCGTGGGTGGACTCCCTAGCCGATGAAGGTGAGAAAGCCGCAGCAACAGGCGATATCCGTCTCCTCTACGATATCTCACGACGCCTGAGTGGAGCAAGGATGAATCCTAGGATGCCAGTGAAGGACGCGACTGGTCAGTTGCTCACCGACCCCACTGATCAGCTGAAACGCTGGTTTGAACACTTCGAACAGCTTCTACAAGTTTCGTCGGTCAACCAGCCATCAACATCTCGGCATGAACCGCCAAGAGTGCGACGCATCACTCGCGTCAATTCTGAGGCGCCATCCCTACCGGAGATCGAAGCTGCTATCCGAACCATGAAATCCAACAAGGCTCCCGGGGTCGATCGCATATCAGCAGAGATGCTCAAAGCTGACCCCATGCTATCTGCACAAATGTTGCATCAACTATTCTGCAATATCTGGGACACCGCGACTTTTCCGGCTGACTGGATGCAGGGCGTCTTAGTGAAGGTCCCAAAGAAGGGGGACCCAACTGTATGCGATAACTGGCGTGGCATTATGTTACTGTGTTGTGTTCTCAAAGTTCTATGCAAAGTTATCCTCAACCGGATACAGGAGAAGATCGACGCGACTCTCCGACGGCAGCAGGCGGGATTCCGTGCTGGAAGATCCTGTGTGGACCATATTGTCTCGCTCCGCATAATCTTGGAGCAGGTCAACGAATTCCAAGAGTCCCTTTACTTGGTTTTCATTGACTACGAAAAAGCTTTCGACCGACTCAACCACGAAAACCTGTGGGGCGCCCTAAGGCGCAAGGGAGTTCCGGATAAAATCGTCAACCTCATCGAAGCTCAGTATGAGGCTTTCACGTGCAGGGTGCTGCACAACGGAGCCCTATCTGACCCTATTCGGGTAGTCGCTGGAGTGAGGCAAGGATGTATTCTATCACCGCTACTGTTCCTCATCGTAATCGACGAGATAATGGTTGGTGCGATCGACCGTGTGCCGAACCGTGGGTTGCTCTGGCAGCCTATTACAATGGAGCATCTAAACGACCTAGATTTGGCGGATGACGTTGCTTTAGTATCACAACGGCGTTCTGACATGCAGAGTAAGCTCGACGATCTCGCCGAACGCTCCTCAGCGGCAGGTCTCAACATCAACGTCAGCAAGACTAAATCGTTGGATATCAACACGGGAAATCCATCCAATTTTACGGTAGCTGGTCAGGAAGTGGAGAAGGTTGAAAGTTTCCAATATCTTGGCAGCCAGATAGCGTCGGACGGCGGAACCAAGAGTGACATAGGTGCACGGATCAAGAAGGCAAGGGCT